AAAAAGAATAAGAAAGTCCTCTCTGACTTAGGAAGATCTCTAGAATATAGTGGTAAGAGAAAAAAATCAAGGGGGTATTAAAAGGAAAAAATGAGAAGGTATAGCTATATTTGCATGAAGGACCACTGATAAAAAGGGGTGGAAGAGATAGAAGCAAGTCTTTTCAATCTATGTCAAAATGAATGGAATTTTTTGTTGTTTGTTCTTTCGTTGTTGTTGTTGCTCTGGGGATCAAACCCAGGACCTAATGCATGGAGAATGCACTCTACCGTTGAGCTCTACCCTGGCCTCAATAGAACTTTGATTCTTAGACCTTGTAAGTGAATTATCTAATCAAAAATATTATTAAAAGAAAAAATATGACATTAATCCTACTTTTGCTCTTCTTTGCTCTCTTTAATAGCCTTGGAAAATAACTTCCTGATCAATATTTTCTGGGTATATTATTTTCCTTTATTATCTTAATATTTTAAACAATTTTACTTCTGAAATACAAAAAGTAGAGGTTTCTTTGCTTTTTGTTATGTTTTTGATACAAAGGCTCACTATGTTGCTCAAGGGGCCTCTTTCAAAATTTAGTCTTCGTGCAGTGCCTGTGTGGGGAAGGACAGAGTCTACATAAGCCAATTTCTGGCACAACTGTACCCTCACAGATGCCCTATACATAGATGGAAAGAGAACATGCAGCATGTACATACAGTAAGTATGTAAATAGACACACAGACACGTACACCACAAGAATAAATTAAATCTTGATTTATTTAGCAAGAGATAAAAAAAAAAAAAACTACACTGAAGTCACCCGGGTCTGGGAACAGATGCAAGCTGTCTAAGCATAGCACTCCACTTCCACCAAACACTCAGTGGCCATGAGACTATGCATGGTAGTCTTGCTGAATCTAAGAGGTTTAATTCTTCAAAAACTCTAAATTAAATATACAAAGAGAACAAGAATACAATCCCACATCTACCTAGGAAAACTGTTCATTTCTTTAAAGCCTCCTTCCTCCCCACCTCCAGAGAAGCTAAAACCAGAAGGACAGTAAGGAACCCTGGAGGAGCCGGGGGGCGGGGGGGGTGTCAGTTGAAAAAGAGCTGAAACAGGCTTTTGAATTGGCCTAACTTGGCCCACATACCAGTGTGAACAGATTAGGCAAAGCGTTGTTGATGGCATGATGAAAAAAAATGCAAAACTCTCAGGTTGCACTACACCAAGTACAGACCACGGAGCTACCCAGTTGCACCCACAGCGTTCACATTCAGTAGACAGTTCACTCACGAGTCTCACAGGTACTAACCCCAGCCTGGTGCTTCTGAACAGGGGTCTTTGTTTTCTCAAGGGTCACAGTGTTTGTTTTCCCAGTAGAGTTACTGGGTAGTATACCTGGTCCATGAGGTGATATTAAAGTAATTAAAGTTGCAAAGAATTAAGAACCCTGATGTAAATAAAAGTTCTGTGAAAAGCTACTCTGCCTTGATTTTCTATAATGTAGTGATTTTAAGTAAAAACAACTGCAAGCCAAATTCTGGCTCTGCAGTAGAAACATGGACAAGTTAGATACCCTTCGACCCTTCAGTTTCCTCATCTGTGAAATGGGAACAATAGTAATATAACATATACATATAGCATTGTTATGAAGATTAAATGAGCTACACATTAGAAGCTCTTGGCACAGTGCCTGGCAGATTGTAAGTACTTAGTCACCTTTTCTCTTAATATCATTTTATGTATATTGTAAAAAATTATGAAATTCATGTACATAATTATTTTATGTGTGTATATTCCCTCCCCCTCAAGAGATAAGATCTTGCTCTGTGCCCAGGCTGGCCTTGAACTCCTGGGCTCAAGTGATTGTCCTGCCTCAGCCCTCCGAGTAGCTGTGACTATAGGTACATGCCACTATACCTGGTTCATATATATTAATTCTTTAACCATAATTCTGAATATTTTATTATGGTAGCTTCCTAGAAGGCTAATTACATAGGTTCAAGAATATGAACATATTTACTACATCATACTACATTTTTATAGTTACCCAGGAAAGACAATTCAACAGTTTCCGCCATTAGTCTCCCAGGGAATTGCTGAGCTCTGGAAATTAAATTCTTAGAACAAATATTACTTGATAGATTACAAACCTAAGGCATATATAAAAATCTGGTGCTCTTCAAAATTTCTTTGTGATAGGCCATTAGCAAGAAAGAGAAAATAAGACGAAGTGTCTCCCTGTTTCTGGTAAGCTTTGGAGGGCACAGTGTGGTCATGTGGTTCAGGAAACCTTGCCCCAACCCCTTTGGCCTCCTATAATCCTTAGTGACATCCCATTCCTCAATATTCCTTTCCTGACACCTGCTTTAAATCCCTCATTTTCCATTGCCATGGGACTTTCAGATCCCCTCCATACCCCTGACCTTTTTATCTAGGGATGTGACTTTTGATTAACCTTTGGCCTCTGGGTCAGCAGTTAAGCTGTCCATTCTCCAGAACTCTTTCAGCTTCTGCCTCTTTAAGGACAAAGCCAGTCTCGCCTAACTTGCACACAGTTTGGCCATCTCAAGCCATTCTTAGGTGATGAAATTTCATAAGGCAGGTGCTGCAAGCGGTACCCTTGAATAGAAATTATGAGAAACAAGGCTTTAAGAAGAGCATTAGATGTTGGGTTTCTCTGGAAAGCTCGCCCAGTTCAAGCTTCATTTTAATGTCATTTTTAAAAGAAGCCAAGAGACTTGCCTAAAGGAGCTAAATCTGGTATAGCTTCACATTTTGAAAATGGGGGCCATTTGCAGGGCTGTGGTAAGAATCACATGTTAGAATCTGTCACTGTCACCAGGCCTGGTGGCACACTCCTATAATCCCAACACTGGTGGGCAGGGGCAGGAGGATTGCAAATTCAAGCTGCTTAAAAATTTAATGAGACCTTGTTTCAAAAAAAAAAAAAAAATCTGGGGATAGAGCAGTGCAAAGGCCCTGGGTTCAATCCCCAGGACTGCAAAAGAAAGAAAAGAAAAAAAATGAAAGAAAATGTCACTGTTCTCAAGTAGATTTTAGCTTTTTAGGGGAAACAGAATACACAATGATGTCTACAGTACAAGGTAGAAGAAATGAGGTCATAAGTTAGATAAAGGAATTCCAGGAGATAAAGGGAGAATAGAGCAAAGAGTAGAAATCTAAGAGTACTTCAGTAAGAGACATTGTTTAAGATAAGCTATGAAGGACTTTAGCAAATGGAATTTAGCATAGCTGGAAGGATGAGGAGAACCAATGAGAATGGGAACATTCATCCAAGCATTTGAAATTACCAAAGTAAAGACAGAAGTAAAAATAGTAGCAGGTTTTGGGATCAGCAAGGGAAGCAGTTTCAATGGCATGAGCAATACATGGGGATTGTGGAAGGAAAAGACATCAGGGCCAGGCTGCAGAAGGCCTGGTTTGCTGGGGTATGATGTTTGTCTGAAGGCTTGGTAGCAGGGAAATGATCTGACTACAGCTATGATTTGGGAATTAGGACAATTAGGAAACCAAGGGAGAGGTAAAGTGCAATGGGTAGGGGTGGGGGGCATCTTTTTTCTTAAAGACAATGGGAATTAGGGAGTGTCAGAGTCAGGACAGTGATGGGAGCATGGAGAGAAGGGGTGAATATGCTTAGCAAGTTTATGCAATCGTATGGAAAGAATGATTTCTTAAATAATTTATTTGCAATAAGTTAACAGTTAAATAGCAAATTATAATGAATGGTTAAAAACTCACAACATTAAAAAATAAAATCTTTGGTTGATACATCTAATCACATTCTACAAAGCACCATAATTCTATTTCAATAAAAAGGCATATGAAGATTACTGAACACTTTGGAAAGGAGATAACCATAATGATAAGGCATCTGTTCACTTTTTATTCCCTTGATGGCTGAACAGGGTTGTGGTAAGGCTGGATGCAGGGCAGGAGACATGGCTGTGTTCTGAGTTTCCAATAACTGTCCTTGTCACCTTTGGAAGGTCACTTCCAAACCTGCAGGACCTGCTTTTTCTTCTGTAAAATGAGGAAGTGAAACTAACCAAACTGATGGTTTATACAAATCAGTGGACCTATTTATACCTGGATCCTGAAAGTTTCCAGTGGTGCCCATAGCACACCAAACACTTTTGTTCAAATAACAGAAGAGCACAGGCTAGGTGATTTAAAACTGTGTCTCGAATTTTCTGTTGGGCTCAAATGGCCCATAAACACATGTGCCATTTGGTAATGAACTATAACTTTGTTGTTGTTGTTGTTGTTGTTGTTGTTGTTTGCAGTCAGTACTGAGGATCAAACCAGCTAGGGCCTCACACATAGCAGGCAAGTGCTCCACCACAGAACTACCTCCTCAGCCCTCCTTTTTTTACTTTGTTTGCTTTTTCTTTGTTTGAGACAAGAGCCTCACTACAGAGTCCAGGCTGACCTTGAACTTGCTATCTTATCCAAACCGGCCTGGAATTTGTGATTCTGTTTCAGCCTGTTGAGTGGCTGAAATTACAGGCAGGTGGCTGTACCATAAATTGTTTTTCGTTTTTTTGCGGCAAAGTTTTGCTATGTAGTCAAGGCTGGTCTTGAACTTATTATGTAGCCCAGGTTGACCTAAAAGTCACAGTGATCAAATTCCAAGTTGCTGGGGTTACAGGCATGCACAACCATGCCTGGCTAAACCATAAATTCTTATAACTGCAATCATAAAGAGTTAAATATAGACATCAAAGAGGATGCTAGAGTACTTTTTGAATTAGTTTCCAGTCTCCTGAATAGCTTATTAAGGTTTTGGTCCACATATAATTATAATTCTTTTCAACACTTTACTACAGTTTGACATACAAAAATCCAAGGTGGTAAAATACATATTTTAAGAGGTGAATTACAAAGAGTAATATTGTAAAGGTTTATTCATTTATCAAAGGATTTCCTGCAAAGTTTCTTTAATTATCATCTTCATAAAGTTTATGACAGCATGATCTCCTCATCTCTTCAGGATTCCTCCATTACACGTCCGTGGAAAGGTCTTCTTTGTGTACCCAGACCAGGCTCCCAGCAGCAGGAATGTGAACTCATTCTGGGTTGAGCAGAAAATCCTGTATTCAGGTACACAGGTCCTTTGTGTTTTCCTTGGCTTCACATTAAAATAAAGCTAATATAAAAATACTGACTACTGCGCAAGCGCAAGGACCTGAGTTCGATCCCCGGTACCAAAAAAAAAAAAAGTGCAAAAATACTGACGAAAGTGTTATTTTGACTTAATGTCAGATGAGTAAGTTATAATACTCAACTGATAACTGTCACCGAAACTGTAAAATGCACTACCACCTGATAGTTTGAGGAAAAGCTTGAATCCATTCAAACTGTTGAGAAAGACATGCACATTCAGGGGAAAAATTCCTGTTCTCTGTGTTTATGTGTTTCCCTGAGCTACACTGGGCCCATGGGGAAGCTCCCTGAATGCAGGTTAAACAAGGGACCCAGAAGGAAGCCCTGTGTTATAAGTCCAAAGGCTATTTAGACTCTAATGACCCGATGACCTTGCTGTCAGGGAAAGAGAGATTATGAAAGACTCACCCGGCTTTTGTCTCATCACCAAACCAGGACTGCTCATTCATAAATAAAATACTTTCTTTCTAGAGTAGCAGGAAATTTAAATTCCTCTATTATGCATGCATTGGAAATTCCTAACCCCAAATCCACAGATATCCCATGTGGGGTTCAGAAGATTTTAAAACCAATGTACTGTCAAGAACTTTGGAGAAATAAAATATTCTAGAGATAATTAAATGTTATTATTTGTATTCTTGGCTCAATTAAGGGATTCATCAAGATCAGGATGGTGTGTGACAATGCATTCTGTAAGGTCCATGCTGTTTCAATGACTTACTGGGGTATAACCCCTATCCCCAGCATAAGATTAAGCTAATGCTCTACAGGAGAGAGGTGAATTCCAAATTCATTAGTTCACTAGAGTTTGGTATTACATTTCTATTGTTTATTCTACATTTTTTTGTTTAAACTAGGCTGTTAAATAACCATTAAATGGTAATGTTTAAATTTTGTATAATTACAATTGACTTTTACAGGTCTTCAGTCATGGAGAACTCAGGCTGAGTTAAAAGTTAAAAAGAAACTAAGGGGTTGCTGACTTATTTTAGCTAACATTTTTTTTTATAAGAAAACTGTGAACTCTGATAAATTGTCAAGTCTTTTCCTTTCACAGATGCAATGCACTATTTGACTTTAGAGTTCATGTGTATAAATGGCTCCCTACAAGTAAACACCTCACATTTCCATAGAATCTAAAGAATGCACTCCTCAGGAGGAGGAATGTAATCCCATTCCTCAGAGGGACCTTCTCCACAGATTTTCCCACACATCTCTCAGGTTGGTTTCTGCTGGGGCTATCTTTTTACGCATCAATCTTAAGATTTATTTTGTTTGCCTTTGATCAAATAGACTCATTTTTCAAAACAAACTTTTAAATATGTTCTGAGAAAAACATACTCTGCTTATTCACCTGAGATCCATAATGTGAAAGCTCCTTTCTTATTACTGAAGACAAAGATTAAAACAGTAGATTTTTAAACCTATTTTTTTTTTTTTTTTTTTTTTTGCAAATGTCTTATACAGACCTGGATTTATAAAACAGGAGGAGCAGAATGTTCTCTCTGAAGTCTCAGCTGTGGTTGGAGTCCAGGTCACACTCTTATGGGCTCTTTTCAGCTCCTGAAACTGTCCCTGAACCATCTCCCATGAAGCCCAAATCCGTGCCTCACAAGCTATTCATCAAGTTGACTCTGGAACATGCAAAGGCTGTCCTCAGCCAATGACTTCTGAACAAGTGCTGTCCGGGGGGAGGACTGCCAGAGCCATACTACGGAAGGTGGTGGCTTGGGCCTGGTGAAGAGACCCGGTAGTCATTGAGTACTGTGGCACTCTCCAGGCCTGGCAGGTGAGGTCCTTGGGGGAAGAGCCCCAGAATGTTTCCCTGAGCAGCCACGCCCGTTTGCTGCAGGCTTTGCTCCCCCAAGATCTTGACCAAGAAGTTGATATACCTCATTGCCAGGCGAAGCGTTTCATTCTTGCTCAGCTTTTTGTCTGGAGGGTGAGTGGGGATGAGCTCCCTCAGCTTGGCAAAGGCACTGTTGACGTTGTGCTGCCTCCACCGCTCCCTGGTGTTCGTGAAGATCTTCCTGGTCATGTCTGAGTTTCTGAGATGGGAAAGACAAAGGGCCCTGCGGGTCAAGACCTTATAAGAGGCCTGGATGATGTCACATGTCCTGCCAAGAACTTGCAATGGTAGGTTTTATCAACTGAGATTTTAGGAAATTCACTTCTGGTTTTCTGGTTTTTAGAATCTTTCTTCTAATAAGAAGAAGGGAGAAGGTAAGAATAACGCCCTTCAGACTTTTTCTCCCTTTTTTTTTTTTTTGTTTGTTTGTTTGTTTTGAGACAGGGTCTTACTCTGTAGTTCAGGCTATGCTTGAGCTCACTATGCAGCCCAGGCTGTCTCAAACTCTTGGCAATCCTCCTGCCTCACCTTCCCGAGTGCTAGGATTACAGGCATGTACCATCACAAACTGGCTCCCTAGCTGTTTCGACATCCTCAGTTACAAGACTACTTCATCCTAGTAACCCAATTACTTTCGGTATAACCAATTATTCCTAATCATTTAGAATCAGGTACAGTATAGAGCTGTGCATATATGTGAATAAAATATATATATTTATCTCCTAGAAAGCTGGAATAAATCAGCAGAATATTATGGATTTTTTTTTTGGGGGGGAACCGGGGATTGAGCCCAGGGCTTCTGTACTGAGCATCCTCACTCCCCGCCCTCCCAAACCACTTTTTTTTTTGGCTTTTCTGAGCCAGGATCTCACTTTTGTAGCTCAGATTGGCCTTGAACTCACTATATAGCCCAGGCTGGCCTCAAACCGGTAGCAATCCTCCTGCCTCCACCTTCCAAGTGCTGACACTACAGGGATGCACCAACCATGCCTGGTCCTGATCCCTTTTTATATTTTTTATTTTGAGACCAAGTCTCACTAAGTTGCCCAAGTGGAACTCAAACTTGTAATCCTCCTGCCTCAGCTTCCCAGAGTGCTGGGATTATAACCATGCACCATTGTCCCCAGTTTATGGTAGAGTCCTAAAAAGACTTTAAAAAGAAAGCTATGGTCTCAGATTTCATGAATAAAATGAGGTATAGACTGAAGAAGATAGGATAGTCCTCCTTTCAGTAGGAGACCTCAGCTGAGGGACTGTGCTTCACTCTGCAAGAGTTAAAAATGTCCAGGCTGCCACATTCGGAGGAGGATGAACAGAGTGAGAAAGGATTTTCACACTTGGATGGATGAAGAACAGAACTGGGGATATTAAGCTTGACAAAAATAAAAAGACTGGGGGCAGGTGGGGGTGATCTCTTGGCACGGATGCTGCAGAAGACACTTGGGCCTCTGGGAGGTGGCTCTGGATGACCTTTCCAACACTAGAAGAGTTACTGCCAAATCTTATTTTGCCATCTTTAACTCTTAGGTGGTTGTGGGCCCTTTTCTCTAGGTAGCTTGGATTAACATCAGTACTGGGAACCTTTAGGATACATTGGCAAACAAGCCAAAGCCCAGCCCCAGGCAGTTTGATGTTCTGGCTTCCTGCTTCTGGCTGTCTGCGACCTGCTCCAGCCTCAGCTCCTCAGAGGACTGGGCCCCTCCTATTTTCTCCACTGCTATCACCACCCCTCAGTTTCATCCTTTTTCTCTTCCTTGAATTCCCTCCCACACTCTGCTCACCTATTTCTACATGTTCCCTAAAGAACAGCTCTATTCCTCCCTTTCCACCAAGCCCAGACTGAATAGGAGGCTTCACAGCAGAGTACAATACTCTCCTGAGATGGTGGGTGGGGACACCAAATGCAGTGACACTGAGCTGCAGCTCCCAGTCAGTAGCACCATTACTCTGGCAACCAGTGTACAGTGGTGTGTGTCAGAATTTTTTCAATAAATTCAATAAATTACATGAGATATTTGACCCTTTATTATAAAATAGGGTTTGTGTTCAATGATTTTGCCCAACCACAGGTGTTCTGAGCATGTTTGAGTTAGGCTAGGCTAAGTTATAATGTTCACTAGATTAGGTGTATTAAGTTCATTTTCAATTTCTGACATTTTTCAGCCTATGGTGGGTTTATCAGGATGCAACCCCATCATAAGTTGAGGTGCAGCTGTATTGTGCTGGCTGCTGGGTCCTTAGGTCATGGGAGACAGAGACATGGACTGGAGGAGCAAAAACATGACACCTAACCAAGAATTCTCAGGGGCTATTTCCCCTCAGACTATTTCCCCTTCCAAGATTGGAGGGAGTGGACCAAGTAATCTTCCAGGCCTTTCTGCTCTGGCCTGCCATAATGCCCTGCCTTTCATCTAACCCAAGTTGTTTTGAATATGCTAGCCTTTGATTCAACAATAAAACTATGAGCATTGTCAGAACTATACGTCAATGATACCTAAAATAGGGAAGTCTGAACCTGAATCAAGGAGATTTTAAAATAGAAAATTATCAAGTTTTGTTCACACTGGAGCTGGCCAGGGCTGTGGGACCCAAGTTACTTTCAAGCTTCTCTTGTCAAGAGAGGGTTTAGCTCATTCACTAAGTCAACTCTAGTCCCTTGGGTGGGGGTGGGGGTCTACTTCAAGCTGGGAGGAAAAAAGATTAGGCAGGATAAACTGACTGTGGTGTTCTTTTCTAAGAGGTCTTGATCCTATTGTAGTAGAAGCAGACAAAAGAAACAGAAGGAAGACTGGCTCTAAAATGTAGCCTGCCATCCTACGGGTGCTTAATAATTACTTGTTGATTTATCCTCAAGTGTGTTACTCTCCTTCTCCATGGGAGAAATAGAAATCAGTGATTAAACAAGCTGGAAAACCTCAAAGTAGAGGTCACTAGAAAATTATTCAAGTATGTCTTAAATCAAAGGAAAATTGCATTTAGTGTTTCTCCAGTTGCAAGGACTGATTGCTGCTAATTCTGAATTAAGAGTAACGTAAGAGCTTAAAAAAAAAAACAGATGCCACAGATAGATGTCAAAACAAGGGTGAAGCATTTAGTCACACAGGGAATCAATGGTAGGGCCTGAGTCCCGGAGCCTAGGTGTATTTATACATTTCTGTTCCCATCGAGGGCTCCCACTAGGTCAGGGTTCAAAACCTTGTTTTGTTGCATGGATCCTTTTGGCAGTGTGGGAAAGCCTAGGGACAGTCCTTCCAGAACAATTTTAAATATATGAAGTAAAGGCTTTTTGGTTTCCTTCTCAGAATAATGATTTTAAATGTATAAATTAAAATACAGAGGCATAGAAAATAACTAGTTATTCTTAGTAATTAAAATTCTGTAATTAAAAATGCAATATTGTAACACATGTGCTTCATTTTTAACACATAAGTAGCTAGAATTATTACCATAATTTCCAAGAAGTGATATTTTAAAGATTTTTTCAAAAGGTCTGATGTAGCTGTGATGTGTAATGCAATATTTATGATTTCTATTGGTGATTAATTCACCGCTACAGCCTTGTCTCAATACAATACTGTACTACTGTATTGCATTTTAAATTGTAGTATTTTAATCACTATTAAATATAATTGGTCATTTTAATATGTATTTTAATTTATGCATTTAAAATCATTAATCTGAGCAATGCATGAGGCCCTGCGTTTGATTCGCAGCACTGCAAAAAGAAAAGAAAAAAAAGTAAAATAAAATAATAAAATAATTATTCTAAGAAGGAACTAGGGCTTTTTACTTCATTTAAAACCATTCACATTAGTGTATTTTATTACCCACAGTTGTAAATAAAGGAAATGCTACATTTAGATAAAAGATTAGTGGGCTTATTTTTCTCCATACAAATTCATACAACCCTTGAATTCTGTCTACACCTCCTGTTAACACCTGGGCTGCAGGACTGTCATGGTAAAAACAGTGAGAACAGAGATGTGCAGAAACGTCTGTTTCTACTGTTACCACTGAAGGTTACACATTACTAGAGAAAAGAATGACACGTGTACCCCACAGAGGGTGACCTGTGCCCCTAACAGGAGCTCCTACTCTTTGGTACCAGTGGTCACTAACCACAAAGCCCAGGTCGACCAGAAAGGATACACAACAGGTCCACACCTCGCATTCCTACCAGGCCTGTCCCAGGCCTTTGGACTCATACCAATCTTTTTAATAAAGCTTTCGGCTTCTCTTCCTCCATTTGGCCCTGTGTATTTGTCTCTTCTTTCATCGTTCTCTTGAAAGTGAAACACTATCCAAGGAGAAAAAGATGAAGGGTAGTTTTTGCAGTTAGACTGGGGGGGGGGGTACCTATCCTCCAGCACTAGGCACAGGGTTGCCTTTTGCAATTATTATAGAAATAACACATGCACGTTTAAGGGCGACAAAAGTACAGAAAGGGTAAAAGGCTCCTTACCTCTTTACCTACCTAATCTATCTCATTCCCTAGCCAGAGCCAGTTTGATGTGTGTATTCACATACAAACCCACACACACTTTAAAACTCACTGTGTCTATTATTATGCAAGCTAACTTTTCTTATCTAGGATATATTACATCAGTACACATGCTATGCAGACCCCTAGGTGAGGACTTTACCAGCTGCCGTGCAATCCGGAGGCTGCCCGAGAGCTCAACACCCGCGGCCCAGTAGCAGCAGCTCTTATCGCACCTGAGATTAAGCCCCCTCGCTCAACCTGCAGGCTACCCTTGGCCACTTCGCTTCTCGGCTTTTCTCTTTTTCTTTTTATAACTTGGCTTTTCCTAGCAAAGCCTTGCCCTTTCTGATTATATGCCCGGGGTTACTCACTAAGACCCACGAGCTACCTAAAGCCCCCGGGAGACGCCCTGGGGTGAGAGCAGCACCCCCTCACCTCCTGTCAAGCAGAAGTGGCTATGCCAACACTCGTTAGGGAGCTGGACTGCGGTTGTCAGTGCCCCAGAAAAGTCCCCACATCTTCCCAGCGAGTCGCGGTGGTGGCTGCTACCAAGTCGCCGCCACGTCCCTGCCCTCTGGAGTGAATGTGACAGACTCGGAGGACTAAAAAAGGTGCGGATCCCACGAGTCCGGCCTGGGTGGTGCCCGCGTCACCCCCGGAGTCAACGCACCTCCTCGCCAGGAGCCAGAAGCCAGGAGCCCGCGCCGTCGCCGTCGCGGTCGCCGGCCGTGTGCGTCCTCGCCGGGACACCGCGCCGCTGCCGCCTTTATAGGACACCGCCCTTTGTCTCGCTGGGCCCAGGGCCCCTCCCCGCCTGGGATTCCCTCCCTGCTTCCCGAGACCGGGTTTCCCCAGACAGCCCTCCCTTGGGGGGCGGGAAGGGGTAGCTACTGCTTAAAAACCTCCCTTTCCAGAGTCCTGGTAAAGTTCCTTCCCATGTTAGTTAATTCATCACGTTAGCTCAAGCCCCAAAGAGTGCAGTCCAAGAACCTCCCGCTTCAGAGGCGTGGGGGACAGACTCCAGTACCCAAGACGCAAACCTTCTAAATCAGGATTTATGAAAGTGGGGTCCTCAATCTGCATTTTTACGAAGTACCCCAGGAAATTAAGATGCAGAGCAAAGATGAACAATCACTGGGCTGGGCAGATTCCCGGGTTTGTTCATCTGTTGACACCTAGCTCAACAAGGACTTGCTCATTTCAGTGATAGAGGGGCCCCTCATCCGTCTTTCTGATTCTGCGCTTGGCTTCTTTCTGTTCTCCTGTCACCTAAAACGATCTAATGAAAACCCAAGATCAGACTCCGTTACTAATTTACTCAAAACCCTTTGGTGGTGCTCCATTTCACTGAGATAAGTGAGGCCTTCAAAAGCTCCCCCTCCAAGATGCCCCCCTGACCTATCTGTCCCTTCTCTCCCTTCTACTCCAGCCAGTCTGGGTTCTTCCTCCACTCAGAGACACACCAGATACCTTCCAGCCTAATAAGCTCTTATGCCTTGTGTCTAGATGTCCCCCTAAAGCCTCATGTGGTCACAGGTGGGGCTTTTTGGAGGCAGCTGTATCTAGAGTGTGTGATGATGGGATTAAGGATGTGATACTGAGAATAATGGTGCTATGCAAGGATTAAGGGTGCCCCACCCTGGGTGTGAGTGCTACTCTCCCCAAGGATGTGTATCCTGGATAGACTGTAAGGGACAGAAAGAGGGCTGCTGCAGTCTTTGCTATCTTGGCTATTTTACTGCTTTGCTGTCTTCTGCTCACCATGAACTGTTTCTCCTCTGTGATGCCCCTCTGCCATGCCACCCTGCCTTGGAGCCAGCCAACTATGAACAAAACCTCTACAAACTGTGAGCTACAATAAACTTTTCCTCTTTTAACTTTGGGTGTCAGGTATTTTGTCTCACCAATAAGAAAAGTAACTAAGACATGAGCTTTGCAATGTGCTGTGTCCTCTGCCTAAAACATTCTTCCCCCAAGTTATCTACAAATTCCTTCCCTTACCTCCTTTTGTTCATACAAATAATTATTCAGAGCCTACAATGAGCCAGGCCCTGTTCTAAGTGCTGGGGACATGACTTCAAACAAAATCGGACACAAATCCCAGCCCTCAAGGAACTGACACTTTCAATCTTTACTCACATGTCACCTTCATGGTGAAAAGTTTCTGACCATAATACTTAAAATGGCGTATTCTCTCCCCCTTCTTCATCTCCTCTTCTTCTTAGCACTCATCTCTACTTAACCATATTTAGTATTTATCTTGTCTGTCTTTTTCTGCACCTCTCACTATCCCCACTGAATAGATGTTCATCAAAAATTGGCTGATTAATGAATGAATAAGTCATGAATTTCTACGCATCAGTATCTCTAAGGGATCCAGGATAGGATGTAGCACAATAGATCACAAATGCACTACAGCTTGGTGAGTAAGAGCAAAGGGCCCTGTAGTTGTGTTACCCAGATTCAAGTTCCTTGTCTATTCATTTGTGTGATCCTGGAAAAATTATGTTTTCTCATCTGTAAAATGGGTACAATGTTAGCACTGTGCAGATGAAATGAGAAAAAAAAGTACAGAATTTAGGACCATGCCCAGCTCATAGTCAATTTATTATACATCAATGTCATTGATTGTATTATTGAAACAAAAATACATACTGCTCCTTCCCTTTGAGAGGATTACATAGCCTCATCCACTGCCATGTGACTGGCAGTACCTCCCCACAGGTAGAGGGAATCCATTTTCTTGCCTCATTTCCAGGCTTGGCCATGTGACTTGCATTGGCCAATGGAATGTGAGCAGACATGGTGTATGCCATGATGGAGCTGGAGCTTTAACAGAAGTGATTACTATTTGGGCTCAGCCACAAGAAAGACATGTTTGAGGCTGCTCTCAAAATCTGGATGCTATAGAACAAATCCAAAGCCAACCATAGGCCTTACATAACAGGAGTGAGAAATAAATGTTATAAGCCACTGAGACTTTGGGGATGTTTGTTATACCCCAGCTCTCTTACTCTACCTCACTGCCCCCAAACAAATACAGTTTTTTAAAATAAGTGAAAAGGGTATTGCTTAAATTGCTAATTTCTAAGGTGGGAGCAGGAAGGTGAAGAGAGCTCTGTGCCTTCAAAAAGTTCACAGCCTTTGGAAAGAAGTGAACATGACAAATTGACTAAATACAAGATTGAGAGTCCTGTGTGCCAGAGTGTGAAAATGGAGTTAGGAGGAGAGAAGCGAAAGAATCTAGCTGAAGGATCCAAGGTTATTCATGGGAGGGAGGGATCATATTTAAAGTAGGCCTTGAAGCAACACCAGTTCTGACATTTGTGGAATAAGGACAAGAGTACAAATGGAAACTCCTGGCCTGTCCCTATCTTTATTTCTTTTTCCTACACCCTAGCTCAATCTTGTTCTACCAAGGGCCCTATGTATATTACGTAAATGCTCAACTACATGGACCTACAGAAGAACCCTGTGCAGTTCCCGAAATGGGTTTAGGGACATTTGGACAGAAATTCAGGGATTCCAGATGTGTGATCTAGAACGTGGGATGCCGTCGCAGGATGGGCACTGGAGAAGCCAGAGCAGGGCCATCTAAAGCACAGTAGCCCTGGGTGCCTGTGTTCCTGGGAAAATGGGTGGTAAAGGGTGCATAGAGGCAGAGGACAGGAAGGCAGTCATGTTCTTTGAACATGGGAATAATACATTTAGTTATGGGTTGCAGGCCTCTTTTTGCTGGCAGTATAGCAGTGGTTTGGAGGATGGACTGGAGGGAATTAGCTGGCCAATTTATGCTAGAAACATAACTTCATATTCACTATAAATGTCTCTGATTTTCTCTTCTTTCTGCCCCTCTGTTCTCTTTGTGTTCGGTGGCAGGAAATCACTGCCTCATGGTGCCTGGATTTTTTCCACCCTGCCATATTACATGGTAATTCTGATACAGCACATGTTTGATTTTAAACCAAGAAACTTCATCTTAGCCAAAAATTACGAGGCACTGTATTTTCTCAGTGACATACTTTCCATGTGTGAAAAAGAACTGTGGCAACTGGTGGTAAGCCTGAAAATGTATGATGCTAAATGACACAATTCACTATAAAGTAAAATTTGTGCAAGTGGACGTAGACTAAGGACAAGGATGACAGAAAGGAGTACAATTGTAGCAGCACAGTGGAACTAGGGCTGACTTTCTTCTAGGAACTTTAAAGGTTATCACTGGCCTTAATAGTTTTAGACACCATTTGATGCACCATTCCACTAGCAGTGACCCTTCAGGGTGCTCCCGGCCAGTCTCCCAGCATGGAGAGTTTAGGGGCTAGGTCCTGCAGGGGAAGAGGTTGAAGTAGGAATTTACATAATCGGATTATTGGGGGATTAGGTTTGGGCAGCTAAACGCCTCTATGTGCTTGAGCTAAAACCCTTACTATTCATGGCTCTCACCACCCCCTGGAGAGACTGCACCTGCAAGCTCCTGGGGAGGGCACAGGAGGGCTGGGGAGGGAAGGGTAGATCCCTAGGAGAGGTTGGGCTCTCCTAGGTCTGCTGCTTTAATTGACCTGTCCAGATTAGGCTGCGAATGCTGGCCCTCTAGCTCTCTATGCAGGAGTTTCACTTCAGGAAAGACCAGACCTGGGGATTTCTCCCAGCCAGGTGGGTATGGTCCAAGGTCATTTTGGCTAGAGGTTATGCATCAGCCTTGTTCAACCTTAAAACTCTTCCTCCACATTCTCAATTCTAAACCTCTTTTTCATCCTCAGTACTGTGTATCAGGCCCAAATGCATCCAAACAGCTCCCTGTTTATCTAGTCATCCATCCCTCTTCCATCCACCGATTGCACATGTGTATATCAACTTATTCATCAGGTGCAATAGTTGACTTTTTTTTTGCTTAAATTCTTTTATTGGTACATTTTAGGTATACACTACATTTACATTTATCACTGGGTGCTTGTACCTGTACATGATGTATCTTGGTTATTTTTCCCCATTCCCCTGCCCTCCCTTCACTGCCTCCATCCTTCCCTATTTACAAAGACTTTGTTTGCATTTTTTCCTTTTCTTATAATTTTTCCTTTCTCTTCTTTCCTTTCCCTTTCCCCTCCCACTTCCCCTACCCTTTTGGACCTTTTCTTCTTATTTCAAATTATCAGTTATTTGTTTTAATCACTTTAATCCTTATTTAAAATTTCAGTTTCTCACACTAGAGAAACTATTCGGTATTTACACATGTGTCCTATTTATTTCACTTGAGAGTACGGCCTCAATATGCATCCATTTTGCTACTTTTTATATTTCATACAACTTACTAGAATATTCCTCTAGGTAGATATTGTTTTGTCCTGTGTTCTTGTCTCTTAAGTCAGTTTTAGTACTTTGACAGATAAATTTTGACATTTTCAGATTCATTAATAGTTTTACATGCAGTTATTAAATTTTTTAAAATCTCTGTGTTTGTGTCATCCATTTTTTTCATGCCTCGTGATGTGTTTATGATCTCTCTCTCTCCATATTCTTGATCATCCTGATTAGTTTTGTGGAAGTTTATCTATTTTATTGTTCTTTTAAAAATTGGCTCTGGGATTCATTTATCACTTTTATGATTTTCTAATGCAGCAATTTCTACTATAACTTTATTCATTCTGCTCTTATTTTGCCTGTGTTTATTTTGATCCTTCTCTACCTCCTGTTCTTAGATTGAATTTACTTCTATTATTTCTTGCTAGTAAGAAAAACACCCCCAGC